CATTTCTTTTAATGTAAATTATATTTAAATATGTTGTCGATATTTTACTCTGGGAGGAGTGTTAAATATTCTTCTTTTTAAAAAAATTATTGCTGGGCGTGGTGAGGCACGCCTGTAATCCCAGCTCTTGGGAGGCTGAGGTGGGACGATCACCGTGAGTTCCAGACCAGCCTGGGCTGCATAGTGAGTTCCAGGTCAGTCTCAACTACATACTGAGACCCTGCCTCAAAAAACAAAACAAGGGCAGGGGATTTAGCTCAGTGGTTCAGCCACCTGCCTTGCAAGCGCAAGGACCCTATTTTAATCCCCGGTACCAAAACAAACCAAACCAAATTATTGCATTTTAGACACCTTATTTTAATGCTGTCACAAAGATCCATATATTCCACAGTTGTATATTTTTTATTTATATCCACATAAAATAATAAAATTACTGTGTCAGTGTATCAAAAGGACATATATATTTTATTTTATTTTATGTATTAGAAAAAGATAATTTCTTTGGTACTTAATTATTTACCCAAATTTTTGTTGGTAAGGAGATCTGTTAATATTTAAGAAGTCCTATAATGAGGTATCCTTCTCAGCCCATCCCTCTACGCTTCTTGGGGTTCAAATGCAATTAGAAACAAATATATTAAAAATAAGAAACACCGTATCAGAAGAGGTTTATTCAATTTTTTTCTGGAAAGACAGTTTCACTTATATGAACATGTGCTTACAGGCAAAAGTCTGGTCTGAGAGCAAAATATGATTTATTCTTCTCTAAACCAGCCCTCATGCTCCGTTCATCCATACATGTCCTTGCATGTGGAAGCCTTTTCCGCATGGTGCATCACTCTGCTCTGGGCCTCTTTGAAAGTGAGCCTTTCAAGTTCATGCCCTGCAGATCCCTGAAGTGTCTGGGAACTTACCCTTTGCTTTCACTGGCTATTTGAAAATTGAACGCTTTGGGGCTGCACAACAAAGCTGTGCAATTCATTATGGGACAAAGGAATGTCTGGGGTTAGGCGGGCAAGCAACTAATGATCCTTCATTTTGTCTAGAAAGCATCAAGATCGATATGTAGGACATACAACATTTATGGAGCACTATGTTTTCTTTTTCCTCGAAGGGAGGGAGAATATACTAGATGATCTCTCTCTCTCTGCTGACAGAAATGACAATCAAATGATTGACACTGTTTTATGTGTGCCTCTGGCCTCTCCTTCCTGTCTGCTACTAGCAACATCGCTGCTTGATCTTTTTTAACTTCCTATACTGTTTATAGCAGTCCTCAATAGTTTGATTTTTTGGCATATGTTGTATACTTAGCTTCCTTGGTCCAAATAATCAAACTCTAGAAATAACATTATAATCTCAAATGAACAGTCACTTTGGGGATGATCTACTAGGTAATCATGATACATTGTACTCCTCAAAAGCAGATTTTCTCAAATAAGTGGCAGCATCCGAGGGAGAGATTAGAGTGAGACTACAAAACCATACTTTTAGAGCCTAATACTGATGTGAATCATGTTTAATCAGTATATGATTTCTACAATGATTCAAGTCGAAATGGTAGTGACAACATAAATGTGGTCACTGTTATATGTCCTTGAAAATATCCTTAACACAGTATGAAGTTTTTAGAATTTGAAATTAAGGTCAACGTTTTTGGTTGAAGTAAGTATTTTTCTTACTTGTTTAAAGAAATAGCACAAAAGGGGGCCAGGGATTTAGCTCAGTGGCGCTGCTGCCCCCACGTAGCAAGCCTAAAGTCCTGAGATGGATCTCTGGTACAGGAAAAAAAAAAAAAAAGCACCATAGGTGATGGTTATCTCAGGAAAATAAGTAGCTTTGCATATCCTGTAATAGTGATCATTGCTGTGAAGAGAGACAAAATGGCACTGTACTTGCTTGATGGCACTAGCACGTTTCTGTACATTTTTCCGAGTTGCATTTATAGCTGCCATATAAATAAGGTACCAATTGCTCTGTGCTTCCTTAGGGCAAGAGTTAAAGCAAGGTTCTATTGTAAAAGAAAATCTATGACCTTACCACCCAGAACGTTCTCAGTCTCATTTGTTATGAAAAGAAGATGATTGATTTAACATTCAGTCTTTCTATACCTTCCTAAGGACTCTCTGTCGTTATGTGAACACTATAGGTCCCTCATTCAAACAAACTTAAAACACTACATCAAAATCATCAATATGAGGGTCTGCAAAATCATAAATTTCTGAATTTAGTCATTCTAAATCTTGATAATGAGAAATGGTGAGATGCTTCAAATTTTTTTCAATTCTATCTTTCTTTCAGGTGTTTCACATTAATTAATGTTGATTTTAAGTAGTATGTCCCTAACCATGGGTCAGATTTGTAAAGTATTATATTGAAAGAGGGTATGAGAATAATCATTATAAAAGTAAATTGGAGGCTTGCCTCCAATCTGCTGCTGGGGATCTTAGTGACAGTCTACTCTCTGTTTTCAAGGTAGAAGAGAAAACTGGATTAAGGTATAAATTACTGAAAACACGATTTCAACTATACCCAATAAATGAGTTATGAGGGTCAATTAAGGCAGACAGTATACACCCCAAATTGATTATACTTGCAATAGCTTAGTAATTATACCCAGTGAAGTAATTTTTCTATTTTACATTCTGAATGCCCATACTTTGTATTATGTTCTCTTTTATTGCATTTCAAGTTTCAGTGTGGAAGAGTATCTTCAGTTATCATGTAAAGTTTTTATTAAACTCTAATTTATTTCCAAAATAATGCATAAAAGAACAAACTAGAGAACTGATGATGATCATTATTATGTATTTAATTCTATCATTAAGTACAAATCTCAGAAGCAGAAAGTTCTCTAAAAGTTATAACTACACATTTTTTTCTTGCTCCCATGAGATACAAGAAACCCATAACCAAGTTCCTGCTATTCACATTGTTTCCATTGGGTGTAGCTATGATATTAGATAGGTTAATATCAGAGCCTGTGTATTCACAAAGGATGCCCAGACATTTGGGGATTCATGGTGACTTCCTTTGTCTTTGGCATTGAATAGAATTAGTAAGCTGTATGGTCTATAGGGAAAAACAAAATGTTTTCAAACCAATTAGATCACAGAGGATTTCAATACATTTTTTTTCCAAAAATAAGAAGCCTATAATGTTAAAACCTGTGGAAATTTAATCAACAATGATTTCTACATTATTTTCTTATTTTTAAAAATCTTTTACGTAACTATATAATTCATAGCTAGTTTGAGTGCCTTCTACATAGGCAGCAACTTTTGGATAAATTGGTATAAATAAGATGAAAGTCCCCTACAATACAACTCAATTATTCATTGACAGGTCTGAGCAAAGTGTTTTAGAATGCCTGTTTATGCTAAAAGGAAAAAAAAGAAAGTATTTCTCCTAGAATGCAAGGGCAGCTTACATGCTGAGATGAAAACTGCTAACTCCTTTCTTAACAACACCATATGTCTCCAACTGGATCGTGATGCAGTCGGTTCTCAAGGGAACGTTACGCATGGAAGCTAACCAAATCAAAGCACAGACTTCACTGTTCTCTCCCTGATTACCCAGTGATCAGCTACTTTGGATTTTTCATATCATCGACACGTCACTATGAAGGCTCTTGCTGCTTTTCTGACATCCTCCCAAAATCAGCCAAGTCAGAAAATATCCTCAACTCCTCCACACAAATATTTCTTTTCACTCACATTTTTTATAAAAGGTCAATGCATTTTAAAGAACTGATATACTTAACCCACGAATTCTCCAATGGATTTTACATGGATGCTTTGTAGCCCAAACACTACTGAAATCCATCTTTAAAGAAAAGACCAAAAGAAAAGTACTATAAGAGTAAAGAAAGTCATCTTTCCTCTGAGAATCATAATCAAAAGAGAAATAAACCAATATTCATTAGTCAGGTTCTTCTTTATTCATTGTATTTTTACTCAGTTTAACACTTTGACCATTAATTTTTGTATGCATTAGTGAATTACTTTTAAAATTTACTTAACAGCAAATATCTCTCAAGTATCCCATTGTCAGATTAACATCAAATTGAGTCATTTAAACTCATAACAGACATTTTATATTTAATTATTTTATGTTGAGGTAATATTTACTTATTTATTTATTTATTTATTTATTTATTTATTTATTTATTTATTTATTTATTTATTGAGGCAGGGTCTCACTGTGTAGTTGAGACTGACCTGGAACTCACTATGTAGCCTAGGCTGGTCTTGAACTCACAGCAATCCTCCTGCGTTAGCCTTCCGAGTGCTGGGATTACAGGCATGCACCACCACACCCGGCCCAAGGTAATCCTTACGAACACAAAGTTATATCTTTTTCAGATATGTGTGAAATCTTAAGAATTTTGCTATGAGATATTGTGAAATGAATGACATGGTAGCCTCGAGTGAGACTTAAACTCTTTCCAATGAATGTAAAGTATTTTGAAAATCTTTCAATCTGTTAGTAACTGATATTTCTGTACAATATAAAATTATGCTCTCAAATATCACAGCAATGTCAAATTACCATAGGAGTTACTGTTTACATTTTCACGTACTTCACTGTGCAGTATGTAATGCTTACATGACATGTGGGAAGTGGGTACGTGCCCATTACACACCCCGATCCCTTTTTCTCATCCCCTATCTGGTCTCTCCCTTCTCCCACCCTCCATCTCTTAATCCCCTCCCCCATTAAGAATGATGTCAAGCTTTCAACATTAATTCTAAGAGTCATAGCACATTTCTTTAACTATGCTTTGCTATGATTTCCTTCTAATTCTCGTTAGGAATTAGTATTATATACACAAAGAAAGGACAAAGAGGAATCATCAAGGAACTTCTGAGAAAGATCAGGTGCTTCACGATATTGAAAAATATATATTTAAGAAAGCAAATGTAGCCTTACTATGTAATCATTTAACAACAGGAATAAGCCAAGGCACTCTTTGGTGATTTATTCATGATAGTTCTTACCTGGGATGCCTGGTGGTGTTTTCAGATATTTTCCATTAAAATGTTGAATTACCACTTCACATTTTTCAGTAGACTCCATTCTAGGAAAAGAAAGTAAACAGGAGATAAACCACTTTTTTATGTTTTACATATTTTGTTATATTTTTGTCAAGTTCTGCATACCAGAAAAGGTAAAAGGAGGAAGGAAAGAGGAAAGAAGGAAAGAAAGGAAGGAGAGAGAAAGACAGAGAGAAAGAGAGGAAAAAACAAAAAGGAAAATACAGAAGCAATGGAAAAGTTTGATTTGCTAATGACCCAAACTGTCAACTGTCACCATCATCATACTGAGCAGTCTGGTAGTAAAACATCACAAAACCATCATTGTTGAATGTATATTCTCTGTGTCACAACTTGCTCTGTTGATCCCTGTGCTGAATCTTCCTTCACCAGGAAGTGACACTGGGATACTGTCTCAGGCTATCTGATTCATACAAAGACATTTGGCAGTTGAAACCGCTCAAATGTTTACTGAAAGGCTAAATTAGCAAACCTAAAAGGTAGGTCATATTGATGAGGGCACTGAGGCTTGGAGAGATGAACTTCCTTCCCAGTAAGTGCTAGAATGAGGATTTAAACCCCAATGCCTATCTCCTATTAAAACCTGTACTATAACTAGTTAGCTATACTGGGAGGGACGCCATAAAATATGTCAAGCGGCTGTGTTTTACTTAAACAACCTGCGACCTAAAGCAGTGAATAGCACAGAAGAGTAGATGTCAGCATATGACAATTTTGGTGGAAACCGGGGGTGTGCAAGATACCCAGAGTGGGTTATTTCAGTTCCTACATGTAAGAGGAAAATATAAATGCACAAACCTGAGGTCATCTACTTTTTGACAGTTGGGAAATTCCTCATTTTCTATTTCATACTAGATACCAATACTCTGGAACTGTGGTTCTTGTGCCAAATTTTGGCATCTCACATAAAATCCAAGGCATGAACATTTTGAATGATATACCGCCATGATTTCTGGCATTGTTGATGTGGGTACAAAAGCTTTTGCAGAGATATTTAAACAATGAGCTATATTTGCTTTTATTTTTTAATTAAATTATATAGGGAAGACTGAAATTAAAGAGTCAATTTTGTGGAAAGGAAATTAAATCCTAGAAAGAGCACATTAGAAACAAAAATAAATTTAAGAAACAGTTCACATACTCAAAAAAGAATGTATATGAAATGTGTGAAATTTGTCCCAAAGGCAAAGCATAACTTATATTTTATGTTACATTACTAATGTGAACCTTCTTGGAATGTAGCCCTTCACCCCAAGTTGTAAAACTTTCTGTATCTAAATTTTACATGTGTTTCCAAGACCATATTACATGTAGGAGAAACAAGATAAGGAAAACCATGTTAACAAATGCCAATAAGTAATACACATTTATTAAAGCTACAGAAATTCAAATACAAGAGGAAGCACAGAAACCAGGAAAACACTGAGGAGCAGGCTCACAAAACAGGAAAGATCTCTGAGAAGGAAATAGGACAGGGGCTGAGCTGGGCTGGTGGGAGTGCCTGGGTCCTCCGTATAATGCAGAGTGAACGGACCACAAAGTTGAGAGACTAGTTCACCCGGGAAACTGCTAGAGAACTCAGGCAAACTATCTGTATCCTCATGTGAATAAATTTAGAGATAATATCTGACGTGGGTTCCACTGGGAGTTGCAATTATTTTCTGACAATTTTGTACAAGTTTGTTTTTAGATGTACAATGCTAGGAAGGATGGTATGAAGTTCTTCTGTATTGCTCTGCCTGGCAAGTCTTTACCACCAAGCAGGGCAAATTCATGGGCGTGAGACCCTGGTCCTCACATGATGCCCTTGCCTTCGAAAAATCTTGCACTTGGTTGAAATTCCTGCCGTCACCATCTATCCTGAAATTGTTAATAATTTTATAACAAAGGGTCCTCTGTTGCTGTGGTTCACTGGGGCCCATAAGTTATTTTGCTTATCTGGCTATGAAAAGAATGTGCCGAAAACGAATTTAATATTAATTGGCGAATATTCATTTTATCAGATGACACCAAAGATCTGTGTATCACTTGGGGGGAAAAATCATAAAAATGACTAAATTTGATGCATAAATAAAACATTTTTAAAGTATCAATGTGGAAAATTTTAATAAGTAAATAATAAAGTTGGATATTTAATAGCAACCTCCCTCCCACTCTCCCATCAGAAGATATGCAAATATGAAAATCAAGATGAATCATTTTCATTCCTAACATTTAGGACTAGATAAATGTAATTTCCTCAACTCTGACAGGTTTTCTTCCAGTGGAACCTGCTACCATAGTCTTCCAATTTGTTTGAAATACATATTTTTAAAGTAAGTAACTTCCATTTCTAGGAACAAAAGAATTTTAACTGCTTTTTCTATCTTCCCAAAGGATCTACTATCTATTGTCTCTTAGGGAAAATATCCTTTCCTCCTAGCAGAGACATGAATGGGAGTGGAAATGTAAGCCCTTAATTACTACAGATGTTACTTTATGGAATTTTTATTCCAGGAGAGCTACAGAATGAAAAGCTTATGCCCTAGGGTCCCCTCCCTATTCAATCTCTCTCTCTGGGCACTCATCTAGCTAAAAGGCAGCTAAGACTCAAAAGCATGTTTGCAAAAGACCTGCGAATCTAATATTTTCTCTTTGTCTTAAAATGATATGGAATTCTATACGAAGACCACAACTAGAGAGGGGTTAGTGTGTGTGCGTGCTGATTGATTCTATATCACGTGTTTTAGGAAATACACAGAAAGCTAAAAAAGAAAAGAAGGTGGTGAACTCACACCATCCATCTCCAATATGTTTGTTCTGGTGTGAAAGCTTCAAGTTTTCCCTTCTGGGTTCTAAATATGACCGTCTTTTCTTAACACCGTTTTACAACCACGTGAGGCTGGATGTGTTTCTATGAACACAAAGACAACAGTGTCGATTGTTCACTTTGGGTTCATTCAGATTTAACTAAGTGAATGTCTGCTGTGAGCCTTTAGAGACTCTCTTCTCTCAAAGAATAAATGCAATAAAAGTCTGTTTTCTGTAGCTGCCGGCACTTAGTGTCAAACCATGTTATGCTGCACCACCCAGCAGTGACGATTTCATTTTAATTCACGGGGCACATTCTAACAAGCCAAAAACGGTCCCAGCAAAGACGGGAGCTGCCAGGAGAAAGGCTCAGGGCTCCTCCTGCATTTCATGTGGAAACAGAACAAAAGTAAGACCAGAAAACTGCAGTGGGAGGCTGTATTTGAATAGCCATCTTTGGAAAAATGTGCCCATTTTCTTCTCAAGTTTCACAATTAACTGCTCTAAAACGCCAGCTCGAGCTATCTAAAATCTGGCACACGCTTCAGTTGAAACTGACACTAGCATTATCAAGTGAGTCTGAAAAGACAGCACACCAGAAGCAGCTGCCTTTACATGTCGCTTTCAGACGGGCCACTGAATCAGTACAACTGCCTCTATTCTTCCTAGGCGGTAACTGAGCCCCCTTGCGTCGCTCAGAACAGCTGAGTGCCAGGCAAACCATTCACCTGACAATACATTAATTGGGCTCTTACAAGGCTCCAATCATTGTATAAAACTTCAGGGTTTTCTGTTAGGTCTGATGTTTAAATACAAATACACATTAAAGGTCTTGTTTGACCTTTTCTTCTTGTCTCAGTGCCTAGGAATGACTGGTTTCAGTCATTTGAAACACAATGTAGAATTATGCTGCCTTTCTTTTTTCTTTAACAACACTTACTAAGAGGAGCTGGTTTCACAGCCAACACAATTCTCTCAGATGAATTACATCAGATTGAGAGCCTGATCCAACATTAGTAAAATGCTCTGGTTCAAACTTAACATGCAGAGGTACAAAACTACTTTGCAAATCATTTCAGTGTCCCCTTTTACCTCAATAGAAAATCTCTGTTTATGTTCTTAAAGCATTATTAACCAAGTATTTAAAACAAATCCATCTTGTCATTTATTATGGTTAATTAGAGGCTTCCACTATTGTGAAATGTTTGTGATTTTGCAATCACAGCCTCCATACAAATTACTGGCAATGGAAAGTATCCACTGTTGCAAGCCAAACATTTCCATTTCCGGTAAGATTTACGCAAAGAGCCTTCAAAATTTTTTTAAGTATGAAAATGTGTGCTCTTTTAGACCTCTCAAAAACAAATTATGTCATTTACTTCTTAGTCCATTGTGATGGAAGGAATAATAGTGAGTCCTAGGCATGAAGATGAGTGAATGAGTTGAATCTTCTTAGTTTTTGAAGTCTGCTTTCTTCCTCTCTGGCATCTGACATTTTCAGGATGTAAGGGTCATAAATGTGAAACAGTAAACTGGAATGTTCTCCCGCCATTGCCTCATGCAGGCACCCAGACATTTTGGTACTGTCTTGCTCAGCATTACAACACATTCTTCTTGGGAAATGGAACTGTGAATAATATTTCAATAAAGAAACTCATCTTCGGAGTTTTTAGAATTCCAAAATTTTAGGACTGTAAGTGGTCTGAGATATCAACTTCTATACTGTGCAGGTAAAGAAACCCACTGTGGTTGGTTCCCCTACAGACTAGGTAGTGGATTGGTTTGGAATAAACAACTGTCTCTTAACTCTTAGCTCTGATGGCTCCTTTGGGATTGATGGCTCTTCATTGCTGGCCACGTCATCCTTCCTGATTCTTTATAGACTTACTCATTTCAACCTATCTGAAGTTGGAGAAAACATGTTATCTCCACACCATTCAGCCACTACTACCACTATTAACTAGAACAACTGTTTTTAAAAAAGTTTATTATGATATGACAAAGCACTTTTCAGTATTATTATTTTCAAAAGGCCGTATGTTGTATAGGTCTCATCATGAGATAAACATCAGACAAACTGAGGTGTGGAGACATTCTCTAGGACATAGGATCAGCACTATTCAAGGGGAATAAGAAGAGCTTGAGAAACCATCACAGACCAGAGCAAGCTGATGAGATGGGACAACTAACCGCTACGTGGCACCAGGGATTAGATGCTGAAACAACAACAACA